GAGCGAAAAACGAGAAAGAGGCAACAAAGCAGAGGCGAATGTGTCCATAAAGAGGGAGAATTTAGTGTAGAACAAGTATACTCGCTTTCAACATGTGGAAAGGAAAGATTCAAAAAAGGAGAAAACTGCTCAGAGAGATAGACTTTTCGCGAGAAAGACTTAGAAAAAAAACACTGAAGTAGATTAGATTTCGGCACCGCAGAACAGTGTGCGTACGGTAGAAATATAGAGAAAACAGAAGAAAATGAATGGAACAAAGAGTTCACAAAATAATGCACAACGGGTTTTGCCTCAAAAGCTGCAATCTTGATGAGAAGGAAAGGAATTCGTAAGATCGGAATAAGAGACCCAAAAAAGCAAAAATTCATTCAGATTTCATATCGTTTATAGAAGAAATTTATGAATTTGGCAATCATACAGAGAGCTGAGGAGGTAGACACATGTTTTCAAATGAAGATCCTATCAAATATGGGAAAGAAGGCTTAACTGACCTTGATGAATCGTTGTTGTATGATTTTCTCCAATAGACGCTGTCGTACTGAAGTAGCCCGACCTTCTAGTACATCTTTAGCTACGTTTTCAGAACGAAATGCGACCTTAAATATAGTAAAAGTCTCCAAGAGTCTCAATGAAGACAACGAAGCAAAACAACATACTTGCAGCTGACCGCTTGTTCTCGTGACAGCACGCTGTCTCCAAACTCGCAAGCGCCGGAACGTAGATGTGTCGTCAGTGAGGAGCTGTTAAAAGCAAAAAATAATAGAAAATACCCTAGACCCAGCAAGGCCTACCTTCTGATCCGGTATGAAATCCTTCGCACCGATCGGTACCGGAGGCATGGGTGAAGGTACATTGAGAGCCAGGTAGTAACCATTCAGCTCCTTCCTGTCTATCATTACTAGCGGTGATGTGCTTGTGGGTAGTGTGATCTAGATGTCACAAAATATTTGGAAGCTGCAAAAAGCAACAACAACACTGACCTGTTTGAGCAGTTCTAAAGCTGTATCCATTGCACCATTAGCAAAATGAAAACGAAGCAGTTCAAACCGACACTAGAATTTGCAAATTATGTTGGGTAATTTCTTCAGAAAATCAAAATCATGAAGATAGATATGTACTACATGAATGGAAATCCCACAAAACAGATAAACGACTCAAAAATAAGATGAACACTTACTGCGCTGACTATCTCAGCTCCTGTTAAAGTGACGGTAGACAAGCTAAAGACCGGGCGTGGTGCCCACATGCATAGTACATTCATACCAGCGATACCAACTCCCAAAGACATGCCTCCTTTCTATAGAAAAAATGAGCAAACATAAAGGGTACAAGGAATATCAAACCAACCTCCAAGAATGGCGTAAGAAAGCAGTTTACTCCAGGCACACTCAGGTCTTTAGCTTCGGCAATGAACTTTTCTAATGAGGAAATGACCTGCGGAAACCATGTTCGTGTATCAACTACCATCTTGCGAATATTCTCATGTTTAGTCAACTGCAGGTCGGGAACTAATAGCCTGGATAAGAACAATTGAAATCATAGCAAGCAGTTTCGCAAAATAAGACTATGGCATAATGCTCAACTTACGGGTTGTTTACGGTCTGCTTAGCCGGAGGAGGAGGTAAACGATACCGACGATCCACAGCCATAGCCCATTTGGCGAAAAGATACTCAGCAAACTAAACGCAGCCGGTATAAGCCACCAGTACGTTCAAGAACAGGAATTGAAAGTTTGAGATCGAAACTAGTGGAAAAACTGATCCAGAAACTGATAAAAAAGGGTCAAAGGAACAGTAAGTACCTGAGCGTCTGAAGGCGTTTCACTGCTTCGACATAATCCCAATAAATTCTCTATCAATATCCGAACGGACAAAATCTCGTTACTAAATAAGAGAAAAATAATGTGTTGAAACTCATGATTTAGGAAAACTTACTATTTATCAATTAAATACTCTATATCCCACTCAATGTAGGCGAAACACGCCATGGCACACAATATGAGGCAAGCTGCTTTTCTCTCGGCAAACTGTATATCTTCTGAAAAAGCAAGCAGGTATATAGAAATTGTTGAGATCTGAAACTCTCAGAAAGCTCCTACCATTCGAAAAGCCTTTAGCCATCATCATTTCACCCTCTTTCTGTGTAGAAGCAGCTTGTTCGGCAAACTGTATAGCTAATCGACCGACAGTTTCTTAAAATGATACACAAACAGCACTCTAGAAGTTTTTGAAAAAAGAGATTACATGAAGCCTGGCAAACTAACCTTGATTGCCTGGTTTCGCCAGCAAATCCGCGAGCTTTGAGGCATCTACAAAGTAATCAAACCAGTTCTGTGCAGGCGGACCCCAATATTCATTGAGGTTTTGTATTGTATCCACAATTTCCATTCTGGAAAACATTAGCTGAGAACTTAGAAAAA